TTAATAGCTACTACAGAGGAAGGTTCAGGCAATTCTAAGGGCTCTGGTTTTAATATATCCAACTACATCTGGGCTAAGGAACAATTGCCCAAAATTAGGCTCAAGCCAGATTTGGCAAGATCATTCCTTCACATGTCACGTCCTTTCTGATTATACATTTAGCCAAAGACAATGCCACCTACTGGATATATCTTAGTCCCTTATTTTCCTATTTGCAGTTTCTCCTATGACCATGATACCTGTTACCACCGCATCACTGTGCCTCCTTCTCGGCCCCACCAGGTTCTCATTTGGTCTTTGTATAGCCTTCTCATTCCCCAGCAGCATTACTGTACATGTGACTGGCACCCAAAGATATGTTCACCACTCCTGGATATCCAACTTTTACTGTAGGGTAGCCTGGAAACCCCATTCAGAATTAGGCAGGGAGATCCTGGCCTTCAAGTCAATGTTCTTTGTTTCAGCTGACCTAACGGATGGAGTAAATTCAGCAAGTCATATAAGTGCCTTTTGTTTCCATTCCCCACTGGCATCATTGGATTTTTTTTTTGAGATGAAAGCAGCAGATTTAACAGGGATTCTTAAGGGAAGCAGCTGCCGGAACTGGAACAGATTTCCTTCCTCCCAGCGGGCAATAATGTGCTAGGAAATCTGTCTTAGGAATTCTGTCAATTTTCTTCTGTGTCTTAAAAGCCACCCAAAGAGAGCTAATAGATTCACCTCTGGCCATGACCTTTCTTCTGAAGAGCCCAGGTTTTTTTTTTTTTTTCTTGTTTTTTTTTCTTCCATCAGTAAAATCTAGCGTGGCAGCTGCAAAAGCAAATGTACCCATGAATTATATATTCCCTGCTGCCTTCCCAAAAAGAAAGCCATCTGGGGAACTGGTGCTTGAGGGACTCTCCTAATCACAGTGTCTACCAGAGAGGAGGCCAGAGGATAAGGTTTGGTAGGCTCATTTTTTAAATTATCGAATTGCAACTCCCCTAACGGGCTGTTCTATTTCACAGCAGTGAGAGAACCAGGCAACAGTCTTCCTCAGTATAGATTCCCACCACTCAGGGCTCCACCCACTCAAAAAAGGGTCATTGATTATACACCTGCCAATAATTCCTGAATGGCAACGCTTCAGCGAATTAGGAGCTAGCATTCACACTAAACATTGCTTTTGTGCCTCAGTATGCAAAAAAAAAGTAAAAAAAAAAAAATCAGCTTCTAGGTCAATCAACTTCATGATCCTGAAAAACATGGAGACCCAGCTCCTTTATATTGGAACTAGAGGCCCAATGCACAAATTCATGTATAGCAGGGGCGGTCCCTCAGCCTGATCTGTGCCGTCTTGCAATCTGGGACCCTTCGAGTGATGTCCAACTGCAGGTTTAAGCCTAATCCTTAGGCCTAAACCTGCAGTCTGACATCCCCCGAGGAATATAGCAGTGCACCAAATGGCAGGCGGCCAAGGAGGAACCTGAGCTGGGGCCTGGTGCCATGCCACTCCCACTTATCCCAGCCTGCTGCGCCTGCTGCTGCTCATAGTGCTGCTGCAGAGTTGAGAAAGGCTCCTGCTGCAGAGCTGCACTAGCCAACTGTGAGTCCAACTTCTGGCTGAGTGGTGCTCCCCCTGTGGGAGCACACTCATCACCAGGGGACAGCTCATGTGCTGAGCATCTGCCCTCTGGTGGTCAGTGGGCATCATAGCGACTGATCAGCTGGTCATTTTGTTATTCTGGTCATTTGGTCATAATGGTCGCTTAAGCTTTTATATATATAGACTGCTTTAATCAATATGGAAGCTACCAGCCACATGTGGCACTATAGAATGCTAGAAATATGAAGTCTGAGTTGAGGCACGTTAAAATATCCACTGACATCAAGGACTCAGTAAGAAATAAAGAATGTAAAAGATCTCTTTAATTTTTACTTTCAGTAAATGTTTAAAGAATATTTAGGTCATACAGAGTTAAAGAAAATGTCTTACTAAAAGTAATTGTGCCTGCTTCTTTTAACTTACTAAACTGTAGTAAATATAAATTTAAAATTTAAAATTACACGTAGGGCTTCTATCTGTGGTTTACATTATGTCAGACTGGGCTGCATGATAGTTACTAGTTTCCAGTGCCACTGGGGTAACGGAGAAGTGACATCAGGTTAAGTGCACTGTTCTTTTAAGTCCCACCACCTCTGTTTTTGTTTTGAGTGCAGGCCCTGAAGCTGCTTGCTTTCCTTGCTTTTGTTTCTCTTCCCCACCCCTGAGTGGTTTCAAAGATAATCAATTAATAGGAGACAAGGAATTAATTGTATCTTGAGCCACTCTCCTTTCTGTCCTCTCACCCTTGTTCCTTCCTGTTTAATTTTACTAATCACCCACCTACAAACTCAACAAGATATGAAATAGTAAGATTTATCCCATTATTTTCTAAAGAGTTTCCGCTACTCAAATCCAGGGTGGATCAGTATCACATTCTCATTCAGAATTTCCTTCCAACCTTTGGCATCTTCAATGATCTGAGAGCGAGGTCAGCTTCTGTCTCCACTGCCGAAATTTGGAGGTCGCATGGTCAAGCCGGCCCTTCAGGCACCGTAGAATTTAACTTAATGTTCATTCAGTCCTACAGGGGCATGGGAGGCAGGCCTCCCATCAGACACAGCATCTTCCTCAAAGTGGGATGCCTGGCAGACACTCAAGAGCATGGCTCTTTAGCCCCTCACCCACACAACATGTAGATACAGCTGCCAGACAACAGCCAAGGCATGTGGCTGTGGTCACCTTGACCAAGAGAAGCCACAGCCTTTATTTCCCACCAAGCCTATATACTGTCTGGTCACATAGCCACTGGTCACACATGGCCTCCCCAGAGCAGGTGCCTCCTTCAATGCAGATGAAGCAAAATCCACATTCCCCCTTTAGCTGAACTCTATTGTTCTCAAGGAAGTGATGCTGGAAGAACCAGAAGTCCCTCTCAGCAGTCCTGAGACAGCCCAGGGAGGTCTGGCATTAACCCTTTACTCACAGTCAGTTATCTGAAAAGATACGGTTGAGAAAATTACAGTTGTTCACTAAATATGGTCAATCTTAAGTGACTATTTCTGTTTTGTGGGACGGGGGTCTCCAAAGTTTTGAAAATATGGTTGGAACAGATGATTAGAAAGGTACAATAGTAATTGAAGCAGGTGGTTACAATGTACAAACTTCCAGTTATAAGTTAAAAAAGCATTAGGCATGTAACATACAACAAGATGACTATAGCTAATACTGGTGTATGATATATAAGAAAGTGGTTAAGAGAGTAGATCCTAAGAGTTTTCTTCATAAGAATATATATTTTTAATTTTATCTATAAGATAATGGATGTTAAGTAAACCTATTATAGTCATTTCACAATAAATGTAAGTCAAACCATCAGTTTGTACACCTTAAACTTAATCAGAGATATACATTAACCATTTCTCAATGAAACTAGAAAAAAGGGAGAGTCAATAGATACTGCTTTGCTAACCACAGCTATTAAATCCTAAAATATTAGCATTTTTGTAATAAAAAATTCAAAACAAACAATAATATAGCCTTAACATCTCGATGGAAGCAAAACAAATTGCCAGCACAAATGAACATTCTTATGAAGACGACTAAAAATCAACTTCCATTTTTTGCAAGATTACAGTAGTAATTAAATGGGATTTGGATCATCAGCTTTTATGTCATACCGGTTTCCTCAAAATTTAATTCCTTGTATATCTTCCGTTGAGATATTTTCCAGTAATTATATGTTTCTGCTTTCAGATGAAATTGCCTTACTTTATAATTCACCAGAAACTTATTTTATAATTATTACATCAACTTTGATCATCTCATTTTTAGAATCTATTTTAATTTTTATTTATTACTCTTATATTTCATAATATACAATTCATTGGCTTTCTACTTTCAAAACACAAAATATTTTTCAAGAGTTTGAGTACTTAGTTACTTTCACCTCTTGTTTTACTATAAAAATTACTTCTATAAGAGGCAAGCTATAATAAATTTGTAAAATGTCATCTTTTAAACTTTCAATCTTAGTGCAAAAAAATCAATTAATTGTCAGCCATATACTGTTACAATTTTAATAAATTTGTCAAATTAAATCACTCATTAATGAATTTTATTATAAATTAATAAGTACCATATTTTCCTATCATGAACAGTGTTTATTTATTATAGTTTTATTAATAATTTTTTCTTTAAGTTTATATTTTTCTTCAATGTATATGCATAGGGAATTCTCTTCAATTTATAACATTTAAAAGAAAGTAATAATTTTTAGAACATAATTCATAATATTCTTTAACATGAAATAAACTTTTGACAAATTTCATTAATAATTTCAACTAAATCAATGCTCTTGAAAAGTAATTATATATAAGCCAGATTATGGGACTATTTTATAGTCTGCCAAATGGGTTAGTATAAAACATATGAGTAGCATTAAGGATAACAAAAATCAACCAGAGTTATTGAGCTAAACTGTATTTTGAAACAAAGTAACATAAAAGTGTGGGAAATAAGCATTAAAATATTTGCCTCCATGAAAAATGAAATTTCAGTCAATGATCCTGGCACGTATTTTTTCCTCTGACATCATATTTAACCATTTAGATACATAATGTAAAAAATATTTAGTCTGTGAATATATATGACATAATACCCAATAGATTTTTTTTTCTTGCTCCATTTATTTAGATATTCTAGACATATATAGACAATACCAGAATTGTTACTTTTCCATTAAAACATAATTTGAGAGTCTTATATTCTTTAATGGGCACATCTATGTGTCTATGTGATGCACGTTCAATCAATAAAACTTGAGAGGGGAATAAAGCAACTCATACTTACAGATTTGTCTTTTCATTTTAATGATGTTAACATTTATCATGCTAAAGCTTAAGTTAAGGCTCCGAATTGCTGTTAATTATGCTCTATTTCATGACTAAAGTGTTTTCTTATGTTTTTCTTATGTCAGGATGATGAGGTCAGGGAAAGTCGATTCAGCTTCTCAGCCTATGGCATGGGACCGTGTCTGCAAGCAAAGGACAGCGTGACCCCCAAGGCCCCAAACCGTCCTGCCCAGGTAATGCCAGAAAGCCCCGATGAAATGAGGAAGATCTTTGTCGACCGGGCCAAGAAGATTGACACCATCTCCCGAGCCTGCTTCCCATTAGCCTTTTTGATTTTTAATATTTTCTACTGGGTTATCTATAAAATTCTTAGGCATGAGGATATCCATCAGCAATGAGATTAAGTCTCTGGGGTCATGCAAGTGCAACCAGTCAATTCAAAAGGAAGTGTCATCACCATAGGGTGTGTGTGTGTGTGTGTGTGTGTGTGTGTGTGTGTGTGTGGTGTATAATGATGACCATTGTATTAAAATGCATAGAGGAAGGTATTATAATTTGCTGTGCAAACTTATAAGGCAAATTATGATTCTTTTAATGGATACAAAATATATATTTATGTATTATAGACATTCTATTTCATATTGATTTATTTGTTCTTTCATAGTAAATCACATAAGTGGAAGTATCACTGCCAATGTGTTTGTATATTATATAATGTCAAATAATAGCACATGTGAAAACTACTTGGGATTCCTTTATTTTTAACTTAATAATAATCTTATAAAGTAAAATTTGCACAATGAACTTTATACCAAGAGAAAAGGGAAATGATGAAGGTAAATTAGAAGCTTGAGGCTTTAAAATATTTTCTTATACTGTAGTTAGAGATGGAAAAATAATAAGTTGATTCAATGGAAAACTTGTTTAGTAGTAATAGAAAATTATACATACAAATACTACCAGACCAACTTATGTAATAACAAAAAAATTCAAATTAGATGATTAAAATAAAGAACTTCTATTATTTAGATAATAGCTTTACTTGTTTAGAATATTACATTTTGCTCTTTGGAAATTTAAAACGAATGGCACAAGAGATCACATTTTATAAATATCTACTTTTTTTTAACTTCATATGTCTTTGAATAAATGTGAAAATACTGAAAACAGCATTTTGTGTTTAAATAAGTGTTTTAGCTATGTATCTATGTGTTTTTAATTATTGACAAACACTAAAAAACTCAAGCCCTTGTTTTGTTAGACTTTTAATAGCTCCTTATTTGTCTGCATGTAATTATGTTTAAGGTTTTGATATAATTGAATACAGTTCATTAAGATTTTTAAATTTTAACTCAGAATGAGACTTTAAAATTCAATGGTATTATAGTATTTACATTTTGATAAAAATAAATTTAATGAATATAAAATTGGATTTATGAGAGATTTTTAATAATAAATGTTTTCCCATCAAAGTTATATGATTTCAAACTCTTAGCTCAAAATTTGAGAAAGGAAGGTTTTAACTCTAAATTATAAAAATAAATTATTTCTATAAAGTGAGGATTGACAGTTTATATAATTGTGAATCAGTGATTTTAATATATAAGTCATTCACTAGATGTGAATAATTTTGAATAAAATTTTTACTTCAAATTTATCAACAACCCCATGGAATTATTTCAACTACAATGGGGCATTAACTTATTTTGTGCAGTGTAATTAAGTACAACTATGTAACAGAGTTCTTGGTTAAAACGAACCAGATTCTGTTTATTTTTCAGTTTTGCTCTTTTTGCATTATTTTTATCATTAATGTATTTTTAAAGAGCCCTGGAATGCTTCTTAGATATGCATGATTATTGATCAGATTCACTAAATGGAAACTCAGTGTGCCAAATTACTAACAGAGGAAGGTTTAAACATTAAGAAAACGATGAACTCAGAATTCCGAGAGAGAAATAAGCCAGTTTTGAACAAGGTGGCAATCTTTTCTGACCTTTAACCATTTCAAACTAAAAGTAAGAACTGCCATTTAAAGCTAAAAATTTCTCAATGTTTTTGAACTCTGGTCTATCCACTTCTAACTTTTAAAAATAACTTTTAAAAACTAATGTATGTTCAACAATTTTTTTGTAACTAAAAGGACAAATTCCCCTTGTTTATAAAAATTTAAAACAATATTAGAAAAAAAATCATCATCTTTGCCACTAAATATAAATGCCACAACTGAAGGAAGTTAGTACTATGTGCTTTAGTTATTTTTGAGGACTGTGCACTTAAAAGTTAAACATATGCAGCTGACAAGGTGGCCGAGTGGTTAAGGCGATAGACTGCTAAAAGTTAAACATATATACTTCCTCATTTGGTGTAGATGAAATAAAAGCACAGAAATATTTTCCTGTACTAAAGGTAGGTAAGAGCAAGATACGTTGTTTGTATTCTCTGAGGATAAGCTAGGTAGCTTAAAGTAATGATAAACTACATGGTCTTAATATGTCTCTGAAATACTTGAATGCATTTTTCTATACTTTACATGTCTTATTTCAAAAGTTCTCCATCATTGCTTAAGTTAAGTGAATTCTGTCAGAAGCAAACAGAGATATAATGAATTTTATGACCCAAAAAGAAATTCATGCGCATTACTTATGTTTATATTTGAGAATATTAAAAATGTCTTTTCTAAACTTAATATAAAAATACTAGCCATGAGACAAATTGTCAGCAGGGGTCTTGGGGTGATAGGGATCTATTTAGAAAGTATTATCCTTTGCTTAGGTATGTAAACTTATCATTGTCTTATCACACTAGGAAAATATTATGACAGCCTTCACTCATGTGGCCACAGTGACAAGGCTGTATCCAAAACTTTTAAAAGAATGTGCCCCTTCTCATGAACATGTATAGATCTTTTCAAACTAGAAAAGCACATTATAATTAGCATCCTGAGGTAGTAGGTGCCTGAACAATTCTTGTGTCAAACCCTAATATTTCAAATTGAGCCAATGAGAAAACTATTAATATTCTGAAAATAAAATGTGTGCATATACACTAATTACCCACACATAAGTTGCAGTTCTAATATGGATATTCTGAAATATTTTTATCTTTTCTTAAATATATTTTTATTTGTTTCAGAGAGGAAGGGAGAGGGAGAGAGAGAGAGACAGAAACATCAATGATGAGAGAGAATCATTGATTGGCTGCCTCCTGCACGCCCCCTACTGGGGATCACCTGCAACACATGCATGTGCCCTGACTGGGAATCAAACTTGGGATCCTGAGTCCACAGGCCATTGCTCTATCCACTGAGCCAAACCTGATAAGGCAGCCAGAGTCTTTAAACCTTCTTCAACATTTCTGGATGTTTCTCCATAACAATTACTCACCTGGAGAGCCCATCCACCTCCTAGCTCCTGTATTTAAGGAATTATTATGACTGTTCTATTATCAATTTTTAGTCCTGTTCTGTGAATATATTTTAATAATCTTTACCTGAATTTTGAATTATAATTCTTGAATTATAAATTTTGCTTTAAAATCTAAATAGCCCTAAAATATTAACACATATATTTGGGTTTATGAATTTATAAGATCTTATAGAAAATAATGGAAATTTTAGAAAAATAAAGTGAAAAAATAAGTCAACATATTTCACAGAAGAAAGCAGGTTGTTAACTACTCTACCACTCTGTGCAATATAAGTAGTTATGATTTTAAGAGAAAAATAGGGTTTTGGTGCCATTATCTTTTTTAAAATATACTTTTCTTTTTTGAATTTAATAGACCTCAAACTGCTAGTCACTTTGGAGAACTGAGTATTATATTGATAGCTCACTTTTTCTTTCATCTATAAAGTACACAGTGTACATTCCATGAAGTAGATTCAAGGGAATATGGGATTGACCCATATTAAAAATAGAAAATACTCTCAATATTGCAAGTAAGAAATTGGCAACATTTAAATTTGCAGGTATGCCCCCTAACAACTGAGAAAGAAACAGAATGAAAGCATTCTGGAGTCCTAGACCAATCAACCATTAACCACCTTGAAGGTCATATCTCCCACTCCAAAATAGATTCTACATAATTTGCAATATCCTATGTAATAAATAGGTAATATGCAAATTGACCTTCGTGTCCTTGCACAAGATAGCCACCCCCCATGTGGTCAAAGATGGCCACCATAAGAAGGCTGGCAGAGGAGGGCAGTTGGGGATTACCGGGCCAGCAGGAGAGCAGTTAGGCATTGATCAGGCTGGCAGGGGAGTGGTTAAGGGGTTATCAGGTTGGCAGGCAGGCAAGCGATCAGGAGGCAGCAGTCCCAGATTGTGAGAGGAATGTCCAACTGCCAGTTTAGGCCCAGTCCCCCTGGGATCGGGCCTAAACCAGCAATCAGACATCCCCCAAAAGGTCCCAGATTGGAGAGGGTACAGGCTGCGCTGAGGGGTAGGCCCTCCCCCCCACAGTGCACAAATTTCATGCACTGGGCCTCTAGTAGATAATAGAGCAAACACTTTCAAAATTTATCAGCATATATCACCTATATTTCTCATCTAGTTGATGGCGAACTAGTAAAGAAAAGAAGCTTTTCCAAATATATGACATAAACATATACACAACCTGTCAGTATTTATTGATGTTGACAAGGCAAAGACTACAGAATAACTTGATTAAAGCACATTAAGAGAATAAGTATTATTTCTGTCCATAAGACAGTTTTATTTTAACAGTGTATTCAAGGCAAATATAATCAATGGAAATATAATCTATTGAAATATATTAGTCAGATATAGACTTACAAACTCAGAATTTTTGCATCTTTATCATTGCAAGTTTTTATTTGGAATTGTACCCACCTATTAAGTACAGTTTCCGGTAGCCACATCTTGCTTGTTAATTTGGGTATTCAGTTATTGAACTAGATTATTTTACTGCCTGTATTTGACTTCTAGACTGAGTTACATGCTTTCAGAGAGGTATTGAAACTTTTAGCACCATTAGCTCTGACAGACTATAAACTTAACTTGCATTGCCAGTTGCTGACTTCATGTGCATTTCAGGTAAGAATTTATTTGCAAAATCGGCACAATTCTTTTTGAGTGACAAATTTTGATATCCCTTAAAAATGTACCCAAAATTGTCTGTTCTGCTCAAGAAATATTAAAGGAGTTTCTAGTGCAGTTTTTCTAACTATTTTGACAAGATCACTTTCTGTAACTAAGCCTGTCTGAATAATGAGCAATGGAAAGTTGCGGCCATAAAAATTAGAATTCTAGCTAAGCCTGAAATTTGGAATATACGGTCAGCCACATGTGTTCTCCACAATTCCTTCATTAGTCCTTATTGCCTTCTCTCTCTGGGGCCACAGTTCCATTCATAAGCACTGCAGAAATTATCACATCGATTTCAATGATCACAGTGTAATAGAACCTTTAATTAAACATGTCATTCTCTCCAGTTTCCATGTCATATTTTAGACCTTGAAGTTTATCAGCTCATCCTTTGACATTGTAAAGAGATGTTAAAAATGATAAGAAGACTTACAGCTTGTAGCTATAAGACAGTTTGGTGGTGTTTAATACAATATTTTAGAAAATAAAGTGTTTATAGATAAACACACAGGCTCCTTCTCGGTTGAGTGCAAATGGAATACGCATAATGCCAGCTGCACTTTTATTCTTCCTCGGCATATGCATATGTTGATTTCTACTTTCTCGTCCATGTACTACAAAAAGTGGTAAAATAAAGCACTCCCATTTTATTCTCACTGTTTCATAAACTCTTCATGAATAAATAATCAGCATGCAGGAAGAATTGTAGTAATTTAATTAAATTTAAACGTGTATCCCAGCCCCCATTCCTCTCCAAAAACACACTGATACTAACAAGTAAACTTCCAAAGGGAGACAGCTGCTGTTGTCAATACTTAAAAAGTGGAGGTATGCACATTCTTCATGACAAAGATGCTTGCAGCCCAGGCATAAAATATAACTTTCTAGGATTTGAAAATAAGTGGGCCAGGAAATTATTCTGGAGAAGCTTCTCCCAGGAATCATGCCGAAAGAAAGAAATCCTGAACTAATAGCTGGGATTGTCTTACTTTTTCCCTCTGCATTTTCCAGCTTAATCTGCCCTCATCTCTTTCCTTTTTCTTCATACACAACACACACACACACACACACACACACACACATACACACACACTTATTGTTAATGGAATAAATTTTTTCAAATTGAAAATGCAAAATAATTCAATTTTCTGGGCAAAGGTCCATGATTCCATGGTATGTTTTGCAATATAAATAGGAAATGTGAGCAGTGCAATCATTTGATTTGGCCATCTCTTAATTACAAAGCCATATTTTGCCTCAACAACACATGAATAAAGCTCTATGGATCAAATTATTTTCCCAACTATTAACAAAAAAATTCTAAAAATCTACTTGGATTGTCTTTGAAGAATGACTATTTTTTCAAACAGTTCCTCTACAAGACAGCTACTAATAACTAGTAATATTGGATAATTTTGTAGTGTCATAGGCAGTTTTCTCAGTATTTTTTATGGTTACACATAAGCAAAAAAAAGAGGAAAATTTTAAAGGTGGTAGAATATGATTTTTAAAGTGGTGGTTCTGGATTCTGACAACATCAGAATCTCTAATACATTTTTTAAAAATATATACATGCTGTATTCAATGTAGGAGATAATGATTTAATCATTGATTAAACAAATGTTTGTAGAGAATCTTCTACCCATCTGGCTCTGTTCTAAATGTTAAACTCAGTATGTTTGAAATAAGAGATGACATTCTGGACTATCGACAAAGTTCCCCAAGAGAAAATAATTGATGTGAACATATGTAAAATTATTTTCTGGTAAGGCTTGATTTAACTCTAAACATTTTATAATTTTTCCTTCTTCAAATTCATTTTAACTTTTTTCCTATTTATATTCTTACAATTGAAGATAAGTATTTGAGGTATTTCAGTTCAATGCCAGAAATTTTACTATTACATTCCTGGTAAAAATTACCCATATTTTTGTAAATTTCTAAGAGAAATAGGTAGTTTGTTACTCTGACAGCCTGCTTCATTGTGACATAGATCTAAGTGATTTTTAAAAAAGTTTCTCTTTGTCAGGAGATGACTTTTACTTTATAAATTCCAAATAACTCCACTCCCTTAAGATAGCACATCAAATATTTATTCATATCTGCTGCCTATATTTAGGCTCAATGGATACCCATTTCAACTCTTATCTTTAGCTTTATTCTTCTTTAAGCTATTCATAAATGTATATCAAGTGTTAAACAATGATGAGATGTGTTCAGGTGGATAAAATAATGAAATATAAAATCATTTATAAAGTAATGTAAATTGATAAAAATTTCTATGCACATTATTTGCAGTACATAACTTTAAATATATTCTTACAAAAATAGCAATATTTTAAAATTCAGTATTTAAAAATATATTTCAACCCTAGCTGGTTTGACTCAGTGCATAGAACATAGGTCCGAGGACTGAAGGGTCTCAGGTTTGATTCTTGTCCATGGAAGGCTCTATCCCTAGCCCTGGGTGGGGTGTGTGGGAGGCAACCAATCGATGTCTCTCTCTCACATAAATGTTTCTCTCTGTTTTTTCCCCTCCTTTCCAGTCTCTCTTAAAAAAAAAAGGAAAATATCCTCAAGTGAGGATTAAACAAAACAAAAAATATATTTCACAATATGAAGATATAGAAAACCTTACAAAGTAATATTAATTTAAAAAACTATAAACCAAACAATTTACATTTATAGATTAAAATTAATAAAAATGTAATGATTTCACTTGTTTTATTTTAATCGTTGATTTCTCTCCAGGGTAGTTTTGGCAAAGGTGCCTTCAGGCAACTGGATAATCTCACATTATCCAGTTTGGCTTGTTACTGTAAATGCAGAGGTGAGGAACGGTGGGTTAAAGGCCAGGAAAGGGTTTGGATGGATGTAAGATTGTGTTTGAACATGCTTGAATAATTTTGTACTCCTCCACTTTCAGCTCTATGAATTATGCAATGGCTGTTCCTTAAGTTTATATTTTAACTATGATAGATGATGATGCTGCTGGGGGAAAAATAGCGTGAAGTAGCCTGCCATTCTATGAACATTAT